TCCCAGATCCTCCATCACCACTCTCCCACTGTCCCAGATCCTCCCTTCATCCATCCACTCTCTCACTGTCCCAGATCCTCCCTTCATCACAACTCTCCACTGTCCCAGATCCCTCCATCCACGACTCTCCACTGTCCCGGATCCTCCATCCACAACTCTCCACTGTCCCAGATCCTCCTTCATCCACAACTCTCCACTGTCTCCTTTAAGATCCTCCTTCATCCACAACTCTCCACTGTCCCAGGGTCATCTCCCACTGTCCCAGATCCTCCATCACGACTCTCCACTGTCCCAGATCCTTCATCACCACTCTCCACTGTCCCAGATCCTTCCTCCAACTCTCCTGTCCCTCCTCCCTTCATCACGATCCTCCACTGTCCCAGATCATCACGACTCTCCACTCCCAGATCCTCTCTCCACTGTCCCAGATCCTCCCATCCCAACTCTCCACTGTCCCAGATCCTCCCTCATCACGACTCCACTTGTCCCAGATCTCTCCATCACTGTCCCACTGTCCTCCAGATCTTCTTGATCCACGACTCTCCACTTTGTCCCAGATCTCCCTTCATGCCTGTCTTGTCCCAGATCCCCCTTCATCTCCACCACTGTCCCAGTCCTTCATCCTCCTCTCCACTGTCCCCTGTCCAGGATCCTCCATCACAGCTCTCCTGTCCCAGATCCTCCCTCCCTAACTCTCCACTGTCCCAGATCCACGGCTCTCTCCACTGTCCCAGATCCTCCTTCATCCGACTTTCCACTGTCCAGATCCTCCATCCACCACTCTCTCCACTGTCCCAGATCCATCCTTCCACCCCCAGCTCCTTCCTCCTGTCTGTCCCAGATCCTCCATTCCTTCATGCTCCCACTGTCCACAGATCCTCCACTGTCCGTGTTCATCCATGTCTCCACTGTCCCAGATCCTTCATCCTTCTCTCACTGTCCCAGATCCCTTCATCCCGACTCTCCACTGTCCCAGATCCTCCTTCCCCACGACTCTCCACTGTCCCAGATCCTCCACTCCTCCACAACTCTCCACTGTCCCCCAGATCCTCCACTTCATCCACAACTCTCCACTGTCCCAGATCCTCCACTTCATCCACATCTCTCCACTGTCCCCCAGATCCACTTGTCCTGTCCCGGTCCTTGCCATCCGCTCCCACTGTCCCAGATTCTTCCATCCATCCACTGTCCCTGTCCTCCACTTCATCCTTCCTCTCTCCACTGTCCCAGATCCTCCCTTCCTCCACTCGCTCCACTGTCCCTGTCCATTCTCCACTCCCTTCATCCACAACTCTCCACTGTCCCAGATCCTCCTTCATCCACTGTCTCTCCACTGTCCAGATCCTCCACTTCTCCACTCTCCCTGTCCCAGATCCTCCTTCATCCACTCTCCACTGTCCCTGATCACTCCTTCACTGTCCACATTTCCACTGTCCTGATCCTCCCTCCATCCCACTGTCCTCTCCACTGTCCCCCAGATCCTCCTCCTTCTTCATCCCGGGATCCTCCACTGTCCCAGATCCTCCCTTCATCCACAGCTCTCCACTGTCCCAGATCCTCCTTCCACTGTCCCGGGATCTCCTCCTTCCTCCACTGTCCCAGATCCTCCTTCATCCGACTCTCCACTGTCCCAGGATCCTCCTTCATCCTCTCCACTGTCCCAGATCCTCCCTTCATCCTTCACTGTCCCAGATCCTCCCTTCATCCACCTTTCCTGTCCAGATCCTCCCACAACTCCACTGTCCCTCCTTCCCATTCTCCTTCCACTCTCCCAGGTCCTCCATCCATCCTCCACTGTCCCCAGTCCTCCCTGTCATCCACGTTCCACTGTCCCCAGATCCTCCTTCATCCAGCTCTCCACTGGATCCTCCATTCTCCACTGTCCCGGATCCTCCTTCATCACAGCTCTCCACTGTCCCCAGATCCTCCCCTCTCCTGGCTCTCCACTGTCCTGGGATCCTCCCTTCATCCTTCGTCCTCCATGTCCCGGGTCCTCCATTCCGACTCTCCACTGTCCCAGATCCTCCTTCTCTCAACACTGTCTCCATGTCCATCCGTTCTCTGTCTGGGTCCCTTCGTCCGGCTCCTCCTGGATCGTCCTTCGTCCTGTCTCGGATCCTCTCTTCATCTCCCGGGATCCACCTCCACTGTCCTCCTCTCCTTTTTGACTCTCTGCTTTCCTCCCTCCTCCTTCTTGACTCTCTGCTCTCCCAGTCGTTCCTCCCTCCTTCTCGACTCTCTGCTCTCCCAGTCGTTCCTCCTCTCTCTCTGCTCTCCCAGTCGTTCCTCCCTCCTTCTCGACTCTCTGCTCTCCCAGTCGTTCCTCCCTCCTTCTCTGACTCTCTGCTCTCCCAGTAGTTCCTCCCTCCTTCTTGACTCTCTGCTCTCCCAGTAGTTCCTCCCTCCTTCTTGACTCTCTGCTCTCCCAGTAGTTCCTCCCTCCTTCTCGACTCTCTGCTCTCCCAGTAGTTCCTCCCTCCTTCTCGACTCTCTGCTCTCCCAGTAGTTCCTCCCTCCTTCTCGACTCTCTGCTCTCCCAGTAGTTCCTCCCTCCTTCTTGACTCTCTGCTCTCCCAGTAGTTCCTCCCTCCTTCTCTATCTCTCTGCTCTCCCAGTAGCTCCCTCTCCCTCGTTCTCTTCTCTGACTCTCTGCTCTCCCAGTAGTTCCTCCTCTCCTTCTCCCTCCTTCTCGACTCTCTGCTCTCCCAGTTGTTCCTCCCTCCTTCTCGACTCTCTGCTGTCCCAGTCGTTCCTCCCTCCTTCTCGACTCTCTGCTCTCCCAGTCTTTTACTGAGTTTTCCTTCCTCACAAGACATTGATGTATCGACAACGTGTATGGAATAATCCTCTGTGTAATGTTATCATTTGATTGATTACATTTAGGTGATAATGCATTCATTGGTTGTTAGATGAACATCAATTCCTTGTTTGGATCACATGCAGATATGTAATCCGCCGATAAACAGAAAGAGGTATTCACACACTATAACTTCTAAATCATGAAAAGGAAACAAATACATTGAAAAGGACTTTGTCATTTGCTCTTGATTCCAGTATTAGGAATGAATGCATGGAGACCTTTCGCCGTGTTGGAGATGGGTGTGCAAGGGCTCTTTACGCAGTTTCTATATCAACGAGTTTTAGGAGACTTGTCATCGACAAGTGGGCTTATTACAACTGCTTAAATTTAGTTCCCATAGTGAATGCAATGTACCACGTGTAATTGTTGCATGAGGCTCCGATGTGAGTACTCACGAGGGTCAATTAGGAAACTTCTTTTTCGAATTTTCCCCCAAACACACACATATATGAAGACGAAGAAATTAACAAAAGACCTGTTTTTTTTTCCGCTCGACGCGGAACTCACACAGGTGATGATAGTGACTTATGGAGAACCAATTAATGCTATACAGCTGAATTCCTTACTGGAAGGCTTCAGTTCCTCAAGACCTTACCTTGCTGCAGGTCGCAAAACGTGTTGTAGAGCCAGTGACACCATATGAGAATAAGCTGCTTGGCATTGTTGTGACGTCATATTATTGTGACGCAACAGTAAACAATATGTCGGCAGCTTCCGTTAGTTGCCTCGGTTACAGGATTCCTGTGTACAACATGATATTGGTGGAAGACTACTTTTAGTATTATTCACCTAACATGCACGGGAGACGTCACAAACGATGTAGGTCATGTTCTCAATCTAACTATGGACAAAACCTCATTCTATATAAGCATGTTATAAACATAAATAATAATATATATATTCTAAACATCATTAGTTATAATATTTACCCACACAGTGAATGCGTTTTTGTTTATTAAAAAAAATGTATACAGTATATCCATTGCATATGTATTTAGCAACTGACAAAAACACACCATATTTTGACAGCATCCGCTTTGAAAGTAGTTCTCGTTTTCCGTAATTGAGAGCGCGCGCCCGTGCGTGTGCGTGTGTCTGAGCGCGTGTTGTGCGTGCGTGCGTGTATGTGTGTAGTACACGCATAAATATAAACATACAATATATAAAATAATAATAATACACCCCGAGGATACAACTGTAGAAAAACTATTCATAATCATGTTGTCTCAATATTTCGTGAACCTTTCTTTATAGGTTTGTTACACTACACTATATCTCACCTCTTTATATGCTGTCTAGTTATCCATTCGCGTGTATTAAATGTTTTGTACAGAATATTGTTTTTATGTTGTCCTAAAACAATATTTCACATTACATCCCAGCAGGCCGGCGACGTATTTGCTACGTCGCTGTCAGGTCACATTGAGGTCGCCATGTCGCAGTCGCAGTGCGACGTTGTATGGACGTGGCAGACAAGTCGCTTTCTGGTTCGGTTTTCCATTCACATGGCCACGTCGCTGCAACGTAGCTGTACTACATCCAAAGGTCAACGACAAGTGATGCTTTGTTTTGAAACGTTATGAAAACGTTCCGAGTAACGTTATTAAAAGGTTATCAAAAAAGAAAATCAAAACTTCTACACACCAACCTTTTAGAAACGTTATTGAAACACTGGTGGAGGTTTTCCTAAAGTTTGATTGAAGCCTAATCACAATGTTCTACAATCATTATTGAAACATTTTGAGGTAAATTTTCCCTGATAAGTATGTTTCTGTTCACTGCAGGAATGTATATTAATTTGAAAAATAATTGTTATGCAAATACGCCTGAACATAAATATTTACGAGAAATTATAAGTTCTAGAAAACTTTTGTGAAAATTTGGTCAAGTTGAATAGTATGTCATGTGTTTCATTACAATGACTGATTTTGTACAATACTATTTACGATAAATGCAACATTTTATTGCAAATATAATCTCCCATTTACTGCTGTGCGTTTAAGTTCAGCCTTCCCTGTGTGGACAACTTGCTATCTCTTGTTTTGGTGTCAGCAGTCTCAGGAATGTTCCCAGATACTTTATAAGGTCAGAGCAGGAATTCCTGCATTCAAAATCGGACTCTGTAGCAGGCAGGCAGTTCCGCCACACTGAAGGATATAGAAGACTGTTCATTTTACTCTTGTGACAAGACTACAGTTTTCTAAGAGGAGGTATGTGTATTCACATTATTGTTCTCAAAACGTCAAATTGCACAGTTAACCTGATAAATCATCAATTAAGAATTTCAGTCAAATTCTGTATCGTGCCTTGTGAACGTTCAATCTTAGTTTGCAACACTACGAATTCCTATGACTATTTACTTAACTATAATTTTACCATTTATTAAATGACCAAAATGTAGGCATGTTTTCAAATATAGGAATTTTCCCTGTTTCCTCTGCCCTGTATCCAATCTGTCGACACAGATCTGGTCACAGAGGCACTCTTGCTTATCAGCGATGTACAGGAACTCAGGGAATAATATTACATTCAAGTCGGTGACTCCAGTTACAGATGTATTTTATAGCGTAAACAATGTGTCACTTTCCCAGCACCCAGACCATGATTCCTCACAACAAATGTCAGCCCCCTCACAAGTAAATATCGTATACAACTTTTAAACAAGAAATGAAGATGTGTCATAAAGCCATTAAAAGGCAACTAACCATTTCTAATTTTTGGGTCAACTTTTAGAAATACACAATTTTCAGTCTTGTAAATAGTATATATTGTTAGTAAAATATTTCTCTGTAAATGACGCCCGCATCTTTGGAAAGTATTATACAATTTAACCAGATGAAATCAGTTGCACAATTTGACAACTTGATTTTATTTGGTTGGTAATAAATTCCTGTTGTATTTCATTAATGGTTTAGGTTGATTGATCTGTATTTAATTTTTATGTTACGAAAATACTGGTGGCATGTACTCCTGGCATAAAATTTGTTAATGTATGTTGCCAAGTGACGGCATATAAATCTTAATATTATTTTGCAGCTTCAAGCACAGAAACGGGTTGGCGGCAAAGACATGCATCAGACCAACTGTTGAGTTTTAACCCTTGGCCATGGGTCAGTACAATTTAAAAGGAATTGGAAACAAAGCTTTTCTACAACAAGACTGTAGAAACTGATCAGAGGTGAAAAGTTTTCCTTCTAAAGTAATACACAACACTACTGTTATTAATATGATAGCACTTGGGACCACATAAACATGTCCAAGTGAAACAACTGGTTTAGTCAAAGGTCAGATTATTATTTTTGACCACAGGACATCACAATCATTTCTGCATTTGTTCTAAGCCCACTCAGATTTATCAAGTAAACCTGTTGCTGCTTCTTTATGGACCATGTTTTTGTTACTCGGTATGATTGAGATTCAGATGATGTTTTAATATGCTGCTTTGGTTATCTGATGCTAGTGTCTAACGTTTGGGTAGTAAAATAATCATAAAAATGTAAATACTCATTTTTATACAAACATTACAATTGCTTTAAAGCCATGTGTTGACAGCAAACATTCTGTTTCAGAGATGCTGCTTTGGCCAACTGTCCAACATCTACTGAAACAGATATAACAAGCTTCATAGGTTAATATTTGAAACAAACATGCTCCAAGAAAGCTCTTGAGGGAGCATGAGAGAGCGGAATGAGCAGCGAGGCAAGCCACAACAGCTGATAAATCGGATTAAACTGTATGGGGGAGTGTGTGTGAAGCGTGTGTGTGTGTGTTGTGTGGTTAATTTAGTCTGATTAAATATTACTAAAACCCTTTCCGTGTATTTTGTATGTTATTTGTTTGTATTATGCATTGAAACAGTTGAAAGATTACGCGAGGTTTCACTCTGTGTGACGTCAACCAATACTTTTGTAACTTCCTTACCTAGACAATATGTTTACAGTAACTTCCTTACTTGGACAATATGTTTACAGTAACTTCCCTACCTGGACAATATGTTTACAGACATTGCTCAGTGATGGCAACACCTGCGTTTTGAGTATATGTGCTTCTTATTTGTCTGGTCCTCTTGTACGCTTCATCTGGGAAGTAACCTAACAGTTAAATCAAACTTTGAACCCTTCAAAATGCCACACACACACACACACACACACACACACACACACACACACACACACACACACACACACACACACACACACACACACACACACACACACACACACACACACACACACACACACACACACACACACAGACAGACAAACAGGGATGTGGGGATATGGCTGAAACATTGCTGGATACCACTGAAGATAAGTTAACTCAACTCATGTAACCTCTACAATAGTGAACACTCAATATGCGACTTGCTGTAACGTCTTTGCGACGTCATTGCCATGTGGTTTGGCCACGTATTTGCGCCACGTTGCAGGACGTGGCATTGCCACGTCGCCGGCAAACCCTGAAATGGTGCAAATGCAACCTGAATGCAACCGAACGGCAACGTTGCCGTGCCACCTTCATACAACGTGGCTGCCACGTTGTCTGCCTGCTGGGATATTTCGCCATTTCGTCTGTTAGGGGACTGTAACATTTGCATCTTCGGTAGACAGGTGTTCGTATTCTGCTGTAGTCGCTATAACACCGGCGGGATGGTGGTGAGACTTGTGCCGGTACAGACGTATGGCTGCAGATGATGTACTTAAAAACTTGATGTGGTTCCAAGTGTACGTCATATAGATCTCTTTATATTATCTATTTTATCATATGTTTTAATTATTCTGAATTAGGCTTGTGTGGGGTGAAGGAAGAGTTTGAAAGTGTTTTTATACTAACCGCCTTTCACGCTGATAACTGCCTGGACCTAGAAATGTGTTTCATACATTTGACACATGTGGGGAATCGAACACGGGTTTCCGGTAGCCACCAGTTTTTGACTTCTTTCAACATCTGCAGATATTGGACTCAGTATATCATCAAGTACAGAAACAAGGACAATATGAGAAAAATAACCGATTTTCCACAAATAATGAACTGTGAGCAGGTGCGTAACACGGTTTGATTTTTTTACCAGTTGCCAGTACTCTGTTTTACTTTCTCCTCGGAAAATCAACTTTGGTATAAAGTTTGCTATGTTAAAACCATGCACCTACTGAAGACCGTGTTTTATCACACGGGGTATCGTCTTCACAACACACAAAGGTGTTGAAAAAAGAAGGCCTCATCATTCGGAGTAGGATCACATCGGAGAGGCGATTTTATGACGCGTCCATATTTCTTACATTCTATGCAGATCCATAGGCTTTAAAATGTATCACGCCTCATTCATTTAGATTGGGAAACTAATGAATTTGCGGGATTTTTAGCAATAATTTAGCTTCTTCGACTTTCAAAATAAACTCTTTATGCTGAATGAATATCCAAGATATTAGACCGCCTCCGTGGTGTAGTGGTTAGAGTGTCCACCCGGAGAGCGGAAGGTCGCGGGTTCGCTCCCCGACCGCGTCATACCAAAAGACGTTAAAATATGGTACTTGTTGGTCCCTGCCTGGCGCTCGGCATTAATGGGTACAACAAGGACTGATCGGCTCGGAGTCAGTATACTGTGTCTGAGTGAGGTATTCATGCTTCACTACGGCATGGTATCTCAGTGGTCTAGCACTATAAAACCAGCTTAAGTCTGGGCTTGTACAAGCAGCCGCACATACACATACACACGCATGCACGTCGTCATATAGGCGAAATATTCTCAAGCACGACGTTAAACCCAATTTCACCTCACCTCACCTCCAAGATATTAGTTCCCGAGCCAATGACTAAAGCACATCTTTCATCAGATGTATGTGATTACAATGTTGAGAGAAAATGGCTGACCCACGCCACAAGCAGCCAGATTGTATGTTTGCCCCTTGGCCCTCAATGGATCATTAAGTTACTCCTGCGTTAATTCAATTCACAGAACACAAAGTCAAGTGGGTGGCCTTAACGTATGTCAAGCATGCCCCCGGAACATATTCCAAACACGTCGATTACACATCTAAAGCATCTGTATTGTAAGGAAACGCATATACATATCTGATACAGTATTGAGGTTTGCGTTATATTTTGTATACGTACGTTGTGACCCACAACATACGTACGTTGTGTTCACCCAAGAATCTATTTAGCTAATACCATATCCCATGAAAAATGCACATTTATATCATTGTATCATTGTGACGACATGTAAAATATGTAAAATGTATACACAAATCTATGTAGGAATCGACCCCTGGGCCTCGAAGATGCGAACACCATGCATTCCCCATAATAGATTTCTGATAAAGATGTACGTATATTTCATTTGTTCAACCAAACGTGTTATTAAAAGGAAAAGTCAAGTTACATCAAGTTTCTTTTAACATGTTTTGTTTAAAGTATGGTTTCTTCCATGTTTTTCTAAGTTGTCGGAACATCCAACAACCACGGATGCCTTTTGCATCCATAAAACATATAGTGAAGAAAGAGTGCATTTTTACTTGTCATTTAATGTGTTTTCCCCAATTCGTTCCTCGCTATAATATGGCTAAAATATTGTGACGTAATTCTTAACTAACTCGATCAGTACGCTCCCGTCGCTGAAAGTATCCTATGTTTTCATTTTGAGATAAATTGCACATATAAATATATCGACGCAGTAATCATATTTCATTGATAGATCTTACCCCAGACGTAATTTCGTTCAAATTAATTTGCTTAGCACATACCCTGATGGTCTATATAATCTTCGTCAATCCTGTAACAAAATGCTTGCGATATATATATTCCGAAGAGACTAAATCAAGTCTATTTCCTCACGAATGAACCGTTTGTAACAGTTGCACAAGATTAATTTCATTGTGAAATGTATGGATAATCGAGAGCGAGGGGCAGATCCAAGGGGAGGTAATCACTGGAGCTGTCATAGACCGGCAAGATGGCGATGGGGAAAGGCTACCGAATATTTCACAAGGTTCCACCGGACCGTGAAACACCATATAGTGTTATAATGGAGAGCAAATCAAAGGATGAAAGCCTCATGTTCGAGTCCGATGCAGTGGTGGTCTTATGTAAGTTCAGAGATATCTTTGGCGCGGTGTTTTATCGACATGATCAATAGGAATAATTGAGGAATAGGCAATGACAGGTAGCCTTACTAAACAGAAAGGTCAACCAGGTGGTTGAACTATGTTATTTTTAGTTCCTTTGTCTCACGTGTTTACACCTATGTGTACTTATAGCATCTAAGGTTTACTTTAGCGTATATTACAATCCAGTATGTCGAAGTATTTCCTGATATGTGGAATTGAGCCGTGATTATTATGAAAAGGAGACCGACGTCCGATTATAAAAGCTATGCCTGTATAAGGGTGTTAGATATCCGATACGTTTCAGTGATGTACCTCCCACATCGTCTAGACATGTGCACCTGTAACAATATAACCTACACACACTCCCCAAACAGCCTGATATAGAAACAAAACAAAATATACTCGAGTTATTTCAGGGCATATAAATGGTAACTGACAAGTGGTTTTGGAATATTTAGTGTGCATGTATATATTAGAAACAGTGCTGATTAAGTCTTCTCTTGTCCGAGTGCTTCTGGAGAATATTTTCTGATAGGTGGACAGTACTCTTGGATTATAACAAGAATTTCATTGCTGTTAGTAATAAACATCATGATGTAATCATGTTAAGAACAGAATTGAAAATGATAACATTAACAAGTAGGTTTCTTCAGGGATGTATTCAAAGGGAGCCAGTGGATGGTGGAATTTAACATTAGCATGATTAGTCCAGACTGATTTAGTTTAATGTTTTATGGATCAAAACATCAAATATTTATTTTTCCTTTGGAAAAGAAATATTAGCAAGCATATCTAAAATCTGGGGATTTTTTTATGTAAACAAATACAGAATGTCTACATTTTTTAGTATAATCATGATTGTTAATAGTTATAAAGTTTGGCTATGGTGAAGTCACAATAAATCAGAAAGGCTGTATTCTAAGCTGAAGCATACATTAAACATGGTACAGATAAATGTGTTGCCTGTCATCAATGGATTGCAAAACTGTTCAGATCAGACAAAGTGGTTGTGATAGGAGCACCTAGGCTGTGGTTGCATAGAGACCATCATGGCTTGAGAATGTTATGTTGCTTTGCAATAAGTCACAGTTCTCATGTTAATTTATTATGCTGCAGTTGCATTAAATGCATACTGCTAATAGAAAGCCACATCACAATGTTTGTGATCCATCACAGGTAAGAGGGATGCACTACACAAACAGGGCCACAGATCATTGCCTTCCACACTAGTAGATGTTTGAGGGGCCACTGTTCTGAACTATGTTGAAGTGTAACAATTCAAAACTATCAATGCGTTGCAATTGTATTGCCTAGTTTGTACTATATTCAGTGTAATTAAATATGCCAAAAGTATTGTTGATATTATGTATGTATAACAATTTATAGTTCAAAAAGTGGCAATTATTTAGTTGTGAGTACAACATTAGTTACACACACACACACACACACACACACACACACACACATTAACACACTTCACACACACACACACACTACACACACACACAGGGGAAAACAGCACACACACACACACACACACACACACACACACATTGAGTCATATTATTTTTCTAACACACACTTACACTAATACACACTCATGTCAACACACACAACACACACACCTTAATTTTGTCACTTATCCATCTTCAATATTTATCAGCACTAATAAAATGATCAGTTGGTAAGGGATTATGACAACTTCATATTGGTTTACTACATGCTGATTTCCAACAGGGGAGCTGTGGCTAACTCTGACTTTATCTATACATTCATTTATAATTTTGATAGTAACATTTTCATATCTGAAAATGAATGTCAACAAACACAACTTCAGTCCTTCATTTTGTCACTTATCCATCTTCAATATTTATCAGATCTTCAATAACATGATCAGTTGGTATGGGAACCTAGTTATTAGTATTGGCACATCATGCTGAATGCCCAAGTGCAGCTGTGGCACTGTGAAGACCTGTCACTATGTTCAGGTATCCCCCTACTGTTGAATCATGATAGAGGCATTTACCCCACCCTTTGTCATTCATTCTTCAATGTTTTATATGGAACCTAAACATATCTAAACTGAGCAAAAACTCAATGTGAAACCTTAATTTAACCACAAAATCACAATTACTGTCAGGGCAAGTTGAGAGAGAGCTGTTAACTTTGCTCCCAAACTCTTAGCACCATGGGTAATGTAAGCTGTAGGATTTGTAGGGAATATGCTGTTAGGAATTGTCGCATCTTTCTAGAGATGGGGCTTTGCTGTTGCCATCTTTATGACAGTGTTACAAGGAATGAAACATTTTCTGAATTAATTTCTGTTGGATTGCTGTGGGTACAGGGTGTGTTTCTGAATTTAGGAATTGTAATTATGCCCCCGCCATATATGGCAGGGGCATATAGGGTTACCCTCGGTGTCCGTCCGTCCGTACGAAACAGGGAATGTATTCTATCCACTTCTCCACCATAACCGCTCTGTGGAATTAAATGAACTTATACATGGGCTTTCTTGGGACTCTAATGGTGTGTATCTCATATTTTGTTTTTTTTATTTTATTGGTTTATTTTGTAAGTTTAGAGACATTTGAACTTAGGTACATTTTGCTGAATTTCTCTATGATGATAGTGTAATAGGGGATGAAGTCTATCCACTTCTCCACAAAAACTGCTCAACAGAATTGAATAAACTTCTACATGTCTTTTGTAGGGACTCTAAAGGTGTGCATTTCATAATTTTTTTATGCAATTTCATAATTTTGTCACTTTTACAGATGTTTGAACTTAGTTGAATTTTGTTCTATTCAGCCAGTGTTCGTTCCATCCAACAGGGGGTGTACGTTATCCACTTCTCCTCAAAAACTACTTTATGGAATTCATTTAGATTACACATGTGCTTTATAGGGACTCTAAAGGCGTGCATCTCATATTTTGATTTTGTATTTTATTTATTTTTCCAATTTAAATGCCGTTTGAACCTAGATAAATTTTGTTGAATTTCTCTCTGAATATAGTGTTATAGGGGATGAAGTCTATCCACTTCTCCACAAAAGCTGCTCAACAGAATTGATTGAGCTTCTATGTGTGTTTCATTGGACCTTGTTCATCCAATTTCTTAATTTTGTCACTTCTACAGATGTCTGAACTTAGTTGAATTTGGTTCTATTCATCCTGTTCGTCCCATACAACAGGGGGTGTACTTTATCCACTTCTCCTCAAAAAACACTGCACAAAACTCATTTAGCTTACATATGTCTTTTATAGAGACTCTAAAGGTGTGCATCGCATATTTTGTTTTTGTATTTTATATTTTTTTGTATGTTTAGAGACATTTGAACTTAGATAAATTTTGTTGAATTTCTCTCTGATGATAGTGAAATAGGGGATTAGGTCTATCCACTTCTTCACAAAAACTGCTCAACAGAATTGATTAAGCTTATATGTGTGTTTCATTGGAACTCGAAAGGTGTGCATCTCATAGTTGCATAGATGTTTATTGAACTTGTTCGTGAATTTTGTTCAATTATTAATCTTTATATGATAATAGGTTGTGTTATCTAACCCCTCAACACATCGTTTTTAGTGTTTTCAAGTACTTCAGTGGGACCCTGAATGTGTGAACTCTTCCTACAGCAGCGGGGGCATCCGTGTCCCTGGACACAATTTTTTCTTGTTTTTATCTTGACTTGAAGTTTTGAATTGGTACTTAAGGTTCTTGTAAAGATCTAAAATGTCTTTTTCTCATTGGATTCTTTCTTTATTTTCACTGGTTTCTGTACTTTGAAGTATAGTCTTCATCTCTTAATTTTGACATTTCTGGTGTCCCCTGCCGTGATGTTGCTGGAATATTGCTAAAAGCGGCGTAAAACCAAACTCAGTCAGTCAGTCTTAATTTTGATTTTGTTTTCCCTCTTGGCACGCTCCGAAAGTACAGCTCTATGTGCCAAAGCCTTTGCTATAAATTCACCTCCCTATATGGGTGAAATGCTGGTAAGAATCTCATAAAACCATGCAGTAGAATCAAAGGCAAATTTTCTTGATGTGAAAGATGAGGCTTTCTATAGCATGTGTAACTTAGTCTGTAAGACTAAATTTGTAGCCTCTGCACCGAGCTGAATGAGCTCTAATACTACACTGTCTATGTGTGTTTCAGCCTCTGTACTGAACTAAATGAACTATAGTGATACATTTTTCATGTGTTTCAGTCTCAATAATTACGCTTTAGTCTTCTGCAACCCATGATTGTCATCAGAGGCATCTAATGAGACTGGTAGGCCTGGCTTGCTGACTTGGATGATCCATGCCTTTGCATCCCAGATCAATGCTCATTATGTCAATCCCTGGATTGTCTGGTGCAGACTTGATTATTATCCCCCCACTGCGCCTTTAGCGCGAAGCGGGGGATATAGTATTAGGCTCCGTCCGTATGTACGTACGAATTGGAATATCTTAAGAACTGTTGACTAGATTCTTTTCATATTTGGTACCTAGTTTCATCACAGTATAAGAAAGGTCCAACTCAGGTTTGGTGACCTTGACCTTCATTTCAAGGTCACAAGGGGACTTTAACATTTTACCTGCATCACAGTGCATGTTAAGCTATATCAACAACCGTTCACTGGATTTTCTTCATATTCAATACCAAGCTTTATCTAGGGAAGGCGCAGGGTCCAGTCGATTTTGGTGGCCTTCACTTAATTTTCAAGGTCATGGCGACACTTTGAAGATTTCAGCATGTAAACCTTCATGTTAAGCTATCTCAAGAACCGTTCACTGGATTTTCTTCATATTTAACACCAAGTTTTATCTAGGGAAGGCGCAGGGCCCAGTCAATTTTGGTGATCTTCACTTAATTTTCAAGGTCACAGAGACACTGTGAAGATTTCAGCATATTAACCTACATGTTATGCTTGTCAGCGAGATACTTCAAGAACCATTCACTGGATTTTCTTCATATTTGACACCAAGCTTCATCTAGGGAAGGCCCAGGGCCCAGTCAATTTGGTGACCTTCACATAATTTTTAGGGTCACGACGACACTTTGAAGATTTCAGCATGTTAACCTGAATTGTTAGCAAGATATTTTAAGAACGGTTCACTGGATTTTCTTTATAGACTTTTAAGACTTCTCTTGAATGTTTTTCAATAAGCAATTTCTTTAGTACTAGTTTTGCATATTTCATACACTATGACATTCATGTCAAGGTCAAAGTCAGTCTTGAAAATATGTGTGTGTTTGAACAACTGAAGAGCCAGATATCAAGAGAGGTTGATTAGTCATGTTTTTGTTGACATTTAACTTCATCTTAAACTTTCATTACTTTATAAGTTTGATTTGATAATTTGCGACGGGGGATTATGTCACCTTAGTGACAATGCTTGTTTACAGACTGCAATCATATAGCTGGAATATCACAAGCTTTGATGACAATGTGCTGAATGAACTGAAGTTACACAGGGCTACAGATAAGGGGCATACAGGCGTAATGTATGCCTCAAATCAATTAAGTACGACATAATATAAGATTTCAAGCGTATTGTGTACGCACATAAATACCTTTGTACGTCTTACATTTAATTTTCGTGTGTATCGTGCAAATGGAAATCTCTTTCGTATAATTACTTGTCAAGTTTCTTTTACGCGAAACCCGATTTGACACATGAGGAAACCCCGACACTAGGAATCCCTTGCGTTGTCATGCAACGATATGCGTCACTATTTTTCGATTGGCTAAAAACTACACTGTTCCTATTTATATCCAGTCGGACCTGACATTTTGTGCATCACGCGGTCGCTCAGTTATTTCTCACGGGTCTTCAAATACAAATACATGGTTGGAAATAGTGATCGATGAATCGTCCAGACAAACCACATCACCAACTCGCTCACACAAAAACATGCCAGTACTCCTTCAAAATTCTCAGTACACCTCCACTTGCAATATGATGTGTAAGTACACTCGCACCCCCAAAAGTTATCTGGAGCCCTGGTTACACATTGACTGTGTTTGTTTCAGCCTCAGCAGAGATGGACGCTATCAGGAAGCAGTATACCAAGGTGCTGGATGCGTACGGTTGTCTGGGAGTCCTAGGCGTTAACTTAGGTAAATACAGACATATGAACACCCAAGCACCTGTGCTATGTGCTGGGTATTGCCCCTCAATGTCATGTACAGGGAAATACATGTGTGTATTCAGTAGAACATGATATATACAGTTGTGTGGGTCTCTTTGAACACTGATTTCCATTTGTGCAAGATAATGTCATCTACATTTGTCATTAGGTTCACAGAATTGTTAGTATTTTAATTTGTTGCCAGATTATTTTTCTAAAGGATTAGAAATACATTGCTCTCTGAATGGTAGCAATCTTGTTCATAAAGTTTTTCGGGAATATGTCATGTGTTTCTTAAAAGCTTGGTGCTCTGTTCCACAAAATGATCTTGACTTGGCTGTTGTGACTGGATAGCTCCCGGTAGTATACATTAGTAAATAAGGCAGACCAGACATGGAGATCATATTGTTTGTAAGACAGTTTGCCATTCTGGTTCAACCTGGAACGGGGCGGTGGGGTAGCCTAGTGGTTAAAGCGTTCGCTCGTCACACTGAAGACCCGGGTTCGATTCCCCACATGGGCACAATGTGTGAAGCTCATTTCTGGTGTCCCCTGCCGTGATATTGCTGGAATATTGCTAAAAGCGCGTAAAACCATACTAACTCACTCACTCAACCTGTAACAGTCCTAGTTCCTTGACCATTGACAGGTCGAGAGAAGATCATGTACCTGGTGATGGTGTCGGGTTATCTCTCTGTGGGGAAGATTGCAGAATCAGAAGTGTTCAAGGTGACCAGTGTTCAGTTTGTGTCATTACGCAATGAGCCTACAGATGAAGAGAGGATTGTGGAGCTTCGCAAACTGCTGTCATCTGGAACCTTCTACTTCTCCTGGTCTCAGACAGGCGCCCCCTGGGACCTCAGTCTGTGTGCACAGCGAAAACACCAGCAGGACACAGAGACAGACAACAGATTCTTCTGGTGAGTAGAGGTGTAGCGCTTCGGGAAACATCATCCATTTTAATCTCCAAGGATGGAAGACAAATGGTTGACAAGTTCGAAGAATGTGTGCAGGAATAATCTTTCCAAAGCTTAGATTGCTGTTGATGAAGAGTTCAGTGGCAGCATATGTAGTCATCTTGACTCTGATAATACACCTAGAATGATGGGCAGCCTTAGGTAGTCTTACCATTGCTTGTCATGGAAAACTGAGAAGATCAATGGTCAGACTCGCTGACTTGGATGATTGTGTCCCAGATGCATAGACTGATTTCTTGATATCAATCCTTGTTTGTCTGGTCTAGACATGAGTATTTATAGACTGCCCTAATATTGCTGGAATATTTGTTGACTGGGTCATATAACAACAAACAGACTGACCTTTTTTTGTAGTATTGATGTTGTACAGGAGTTCTCCATTTACTGTCTACCGTAGTTTTGTTAATCTTTAAATGTACATGATTAAGTTGCAGAGCCAACAAAATGTATTTGATCCTATGGTGTTCCTAATAATGACGTTTGGTTATCCTCACACTGACATGACCCATTCTTCCTAAGCTGGATGTGTTGACATTATCAAGTCAGGATGTATTTTACTGTATATCCAAGTAGTTGTATGTTATTTTCTCAAATATTTTGCTCAAAACTTGTTAAGAACAGTCAACCAACAATGTCCTTTTTAGTGGGAGGATTGTTCTTAGCAACAGTATACCATATATGTACATAAATATTACTGTGTAAAGTTGCATATGGAAATACACAGCCTTCATCATGACGTGCTGCATGAGCCAAGTGGATAAAGCTATGCTTCCCATTTCAGTGAAGAAGTTTACTTACTACACTTAACTCAGCTGTGGTTATGTTCTAGGAACCGGATGCTGCATGTGCACCTGCAGAGATACAGCATAGACTGTGGTCAGTGGCTGCTGAAGATCATGTGTGGTGGGGTGGAGATCCGCACCATCTACGCAGCTCATCGCCAGGCCAAGGCGTGTCTCATCACTCGCCTCAGCTGTGAGAGGGCAGGCACTCGCTTCAATGTGCGGGGAACCAATGATGACGGACATGTGGCCAACTTCTGTGAAACTGAACAGGTACAGCAGTAGATAACGGAATGTTTGTGTCAACATGGTTGGTGGATGGCTAGTTGAGTTGATGGTTTGTTTGTCTGCTTTGTTTGGTCCAGATTCTGTATCTACAGGCCGCTTGGATGTTGGCCATAGTGGAGCTACTGTTGCAAACAGTAATATTTACTCTTTCTCTGTCTTTCCTTCAGGTGATATTTCTAGATGATCAAGTGAGCTCTTTCATCCAGACGAGAGGATCAGTGCCATTGTTCTGGGAACAAACAGGAATACAGGTGAGTACCAGGAACACTTTATTCCTCTCAGGACAGACATTTGGTAATATATCATTATCATGATTATATTCTGATGTTATATTTACTTTGTCATTTTTTTGTTTTCACAATACATAGACATACAATACCATTACTTGCAGGTTGGCTCTCACAAGATCCACATGTCACGTGGGTATGAGGCGTCTGCTCCATCCTACGACCGCCACCTGCAGATGATCAAGAAGCAGTATGGCGATCAGGTCCTTGTCAATCTCCTGGGATGCAAGGAAGGGGAGAAGATGCTCAGTCAAGCTTATCAGGTAGATGGGCAGGGAAGCTTATTGGCACAAAACACTATCCAATTTGTAAAATTGTTCTACTCACTAGAGGTTTATCTTTCATCATGAAACTAATCAACTTTTAGCTGATCCCAAATTTCCTTGACACAAAACACTAAACAACAGCTTAATCCCTCCCTTGATCTCATCTGTATACTCTATGCACTAATCCCTCCCTTGATCTCATCTGTATACTCTATGCACTAATCTCTCCTTGGGTCAGTCCATTATGCCAGACAGGTAAATGCTGTGTGTTGTTTTAACTAATTGTAGGGGTACTGGGGTGTAGGGGTAATGGCATGTAGGGGTTATGGGGTACAACCTCTGCAACACATTATACTGAGAAACTGTATATAATTTGGCATCATAGATGAATCTCATGAAAGGCAGACAAACCTAAATATTTGTTTTATAAACTACATAAGACTGACATGATGTATTAGCCTGAGATTTATCACAATGGTATTTGCAAACATTTGTTTGTGAGTAAACTAACAATGCTGTTGTCATGATTGATACAACCTCTGCAACACATTATACTGAGAAACTGTATATAATTTGGCATCATAGATGAATCTCATGAAAGGCAGACAAACCTAAATACATGTATTTATTTTATAAACTATATAAGACTGACATGATGTATTAGCCTGAGATTTATCACAATGGTATTTGCAAACATTTGTTTGTGAGTAAACATACCATGCTGTTGTCATAATTGATAGCTCTGTAATCAGTGGAGTATCTGTACTAAACACCTCATGTACCTGAATATGCTGCATGCTCTCAGTTGTAAGGTTGTTGCCTTGAGTTTGGTGTGTATGTGATTCAGTTTCAGTTATTACAAGCTAGGATTCTACTTGATATGTATCAGTTATTAGTAGGACAAATTCCACGACTGGTATTGGTAAGTTGAACATATTGTTAGATAGGTTTCAGTTTGTGGTAGATAAGCTGTACTCAGTGGTAGGTAGGCTTTAGCAATTGGTCCGGAATGGTTAATCCAGGATTATTAAGGCTTGTTTGTTCATCTCCCAGAACCACCACAAAGCCTCTGTGCACACAGTCAGGACACACCCTACTATGAGTTCGACTACCACTCGGAAGTCAGAGGCAATCTTAAAAACCTGGAAAAGCTCAAGAGCAAAATAATCAAACATGTTCACAACTTTGAGTTTTTCTACTTTGAGAAATCAGGAATCAAGAGGTATGTATCCTGACTGTTGTCTTCTTTACCTTGTCACACATTGTATATATATATTGTGATCTGAGTTGCCAGTGTTTCCTGATGTCCAGAGTAACATGTATGTGTTGTGTGTTCTGTAGACAGCAGACAGGGACCATCCGGACCAACTGTGTGGACTGCCTGGACCGGACAAACTCTGTACAGACCATGATTGGGATGGATGTAAGTCAAGCCATATCATTGGGCAGGGATGATCAGGCCCTAGATGGTTACATAGGTGGGGTGGCTGTTGTAATTACCAGTTTCTGGCTTAGTTGTGGTGTAACCGCGTGGTTAGAGCATATGCTTGTCATGTTAAAGGGTCTGGTTCAGTTCATCATATATGTACACTTTGTGATAATGCTATGATATTGACTATTGAATGGCAGCTCACTCAATAACTGTGTTGGTAATGTTTGAAGTTTTCCCTCAGATCCTTCCGAAGCAGATTGAGAATCTGGGACTCTCCAACAAACCACAGATGCTGTCAAGGTTTCAGGAGGTGTACAAGCAGATCTGGGGGCTCAACGGCGACCATGTTAGCAAGATCTATGCTGGAACAGGGGCACTTGGTGGTGGCAGATCTAAGGTATGGCATCAGCTTCCTCCCAGCTTGTTGTGATGTGAAGGTGTGTACAGTATCACTGCAGATGATGTTAAGAACCCAAGTCAGACACTATCCTTTCTCTAGGTAAGAGTGTCTAATGTGTATATTCATAGTACCATTCTTTCTGGATCTCTTTAGCCTATACCAGTCAAGTAATGGAAAATTATAAACAACAAATGTATCCAACTATGTAAAGACATTGGGGGAACATTATGATCCATTAATCCTGATTATATTTAACAAATGTCCAAGATGTGGGCCCACAGGTAAGGAGCAAATTCCAGAAAATTTGGCAGACAGGCCACAGTGATTGTGTCAAGAAGAATGTGAAGGTGCCATTGGAATGGATGATAAACTTAAGGGATGTTTTGGCTCAATACCAAATTTGGGTGTCATCTTTACTTGTATTCACTGATGAGGGAAAGATGGTGTCACAATCGGTCTTGCTTCCTTCACAGTACTCAGACGCAGCTAGATCGGCAACTCGGACCATACAGAACAACTTCCTTGATAACAGTAAACAGGAAGCCATTGATGTCCTGTTGCTAGGCAGCTCTTTATATGGAGAACTAGCAGACAAAGCCAGGTCACTGCTGAGTCCTCGATGTCTTCATGGTATGTATACAACTATCATCACAGCACTGTGGGTGCGCAATCTCTCTTCCTCTCAAACCCCCCACCCCCTTCTCCCCCCAAATTTTCCCAGAGGAGCATATATTTCCTCTCCTCTCTTTCCTCCACAATTTAGCTGTTCAGTTGATAGATTTGGAAGTTTTTCAGTACAGAGACTGTTCTTACTTTGATATGTGATTGCAAGGGTGAAGCTGTGAAGCTGTAGTGTGATGGTGTGTTACAGTTGCGCCAAGCATCCTGTACAGCATGGTGCAGAGATACAAAGAGTACACCAAGCCCACTCCACTCAGGGTCGGTGTGGGAACCTGGAACGTCAATGGAGGCAAGCATTTCCGCAGTGTCGCGTTTAAACACCAGTCTGTCAGTGACTGGCTGTTGGATGCACACAAGAAGGCAAAAGCAGGCAAGTTTTGATTGTGACACAGTTGGTTTAAAGAGTTTTAATATTAGCTTATGGATCATTATTTAGTGCCAAGATGATGTAACTAAAATGGTTTGTTGTTTACAGGTACCTTGGAAGATGAATCAGTTGACTATGAGAAGCCTGTGGACATTTATGCAATAGGGTTTGAGGAAATAGTAGACTTGAATGCAAGCAACATCATGAGTGCAAGGTAAGGAATTTGTAATCCGATAAATCACCTTTCCTACACTGTGATCCTTGCTTGTATTTCTGTTGGGCCACAAGCCTGTGAGGTGATTCATATTCACTTGAATTTCAAGTAAAATTTCACTTTGGTGACTGAAACATTGATAGCGTAAGTAGAATGATAGTAATGTGAAAATAATCAGATACCTTAACATGACTCTTTTGATAAAACTTGACAATAAGCCCAGCACATGAACAGGATTGGAGGAATCATCACATCCTAAATTATTTAAGCAGTCAGTCTTTAATGGTAGAAGCTTTTATTGATCTTGCAAAACAAAATCAGCATCGGTTTGATCCAAACTGATATGTTGCAAATGTAGAATTAAAAAGAAGAAACAGTTGTTGTATGACATAGTTATTACCTTAGAAAATATACACCATTATGAGCCATTTTACATTAGGAACTGGGATAAAATAGTGTCCCACGCCATACAGTGTATAGTGAGAAAATGTCGTGACATATGTAAGACTAGATTCCATTGGTGTATTTGTCCTGCTTACAAAAAGTTGATTCTTTTTCATATATTCCTCCTTGGGGTACTTATAAACATTTAAATGTCCATTTAAAATCCCTACGACAGTTGTAACAATATTTGAATAAAATAGGGGGTGAGACCACCCCTACAGGGCCCTACAGCCCCCTACAGCCAAGAGCAGGTAACTCTTGACTATAACCTCGTACCTCACTTTCCATGCTGTCGTTTCCCTGGCTAGACGTGGGTCCACTTCGACAAGTGGGTCCCTAAGCGACAATGAGGGTTTCTTTTTTCCCTGCATGGGCGATATGGAGACTTGTTCTGAATATTTTCATTCATCTTTTTGTTGTAACTTGGTATCTGTCGCTGTGTCGGCTTGCCAGGTGCGTGTCAAGATGGCGGACAGGTGCCTTCGCTATCCTTCCTTTGTGGTTTGCAATGTTCAGTGTGGTTATACTTTATAGTGTTTTATTTGTATGTTTTGACATGTGGGGCGTTTGTTTCCGCTGCTAGCATTTTCTATATTTACGCTATCAGTCGTAATTGTTAGTTATGTTGCAGTGTGTCTTACTTGTTATTATCAACTTAATGCTTACATTATCTGTCACGTATATGTGTTGGTTATATTGCATTAGTTGTGGTTGCCCATGCATGTTTTTTATCATATGTATGTATGGGTAGGTTACTGCACAGTTTTTATCACTTGTTGCAGTTTAAATCCTCTGCTTCGTGCCTCGCCTCTATACCCGTGAGGGACACTCACGAGGTGTGCTTGCGATGCCTTACGGAGGCCGATCATGAGGAGAAGGGCTGTGCAGCGTGTGCTATTTTTACCCCTAAGACTATTAAGTCGAGACGGGTTGATCCGCTGTTTTACAGCAATTTGCTTCAGGCGGGGGGTGATATCTGGGGCCAGGATCCCCCGTCCAAGCGCTCTCACGGTAAAAAGAAGGGGTCCTCGGGAGCCGCCTCCTATACGGAATCGGCTCCCAAACGGGCGAAGGTTACTAAGGAGGCTTCCACTGCCCCTGTCTCTCCTTCTGTATCTCCCCTGTATCTATATCCCCTGCACCTACTGTTGCTTCGGCACCCGTTGTTACGTTTGATGCATTAACCAATCTATTTCAGGAACAGATGTCGTCCGTGAAATCCCTGATTGACACGGCGCTGTCTGGGTTCCGCAAGGAGCTCAGCTCGCCTGTCATCAGGGGTGGATCGGACGCATCTGGGGGGGTTGGCTGCGGCCCGAGCTCTGGCTCGGGGAACGCGCCTCCTCCCAGGCAGCTTGATCCTGGCTTCGGCTCAGGTGATGTCGTGCCTTCGGCACCTTGTGGCGACCTAGCTTCGGGCTCAGGTTCGTCACAGGCGCCTGGCGCCGGCGATGCAGGTTTCATCCTGTCTTCGCCTGGTGCCCTGACTGGCGCCCTGACTGGCGCCAACCCGTCGCCCTCGGCGCCCGACTGGCTCGGGGACACCTCGGCGCCTGTAGGGGCAGGTTTCTCTCTGGCACCTCGGCCCCCTGGTCTGGGTTTCACCCGACAGGGCGACCCGACACTTCTGGCTCCTCTTGACCTTTTAAGCCCTTCGTGTTCGGCCTCTGTGGTACCCTCGGCGGTCTCTCTTGATTATGAGGGTACGGCAGCCGGGAATTGTGCCGAGGTTGACATGGAGGAGGATGAGGGGAGAGAGGAGTCGGAGGTTGGGGTCCCGTACTCCTTTGGGTCATCCCTGCAGCAGGTTCGCGATAGGATTGCTGAAGTACTGCCCAAGGTGGCTGTCCCCGTGCAGACGCCCGATCCCGTGGAGTTTCGGCTCCCGGGGGAGGCTTTCGCGCCCAGCCGGGTCACCGAGGTCCGCCTACGCATTTTTGCCGTCACTGGTGAGTGAGGTAGTTAATCCTCTCCTTACTGGTGCCCATACTCGGTTCGATTTACCGGACGTTGGCAAACGGTATCAGTTAGGAGAGGATGCGCTATTCGAGCCGCCAGTAGTTGACGAATGTGTTTTCGCCTCAGTTACCCTCATTAGCTTTGGCCAGGCAAGGCAGGTGGCTTCCCCCTTTTCAAACCAATGCGCCCACGCTGAAGTCTGCATGCCGGTCCTTTGAGGAGTGTTACCAGTGTGCAGCCCAGCAGTTAAAAGTGGCTGTCCACTCAGCTTACCTTACCGGGCGCTACAGGGTCAACAAGAACTTGTGGTGCCGACTAGCTCAGGATGCTCATTCTCATCTGGCTCTTTAGGTGCTGTGCCAGGATGATGGATGCCGCCACACTTTGGTTGTCAGGCGGGCAGTGCCATCTCATCCCTGTCGAGACAGGGTCCCTGTTTCCTGGGCACTGCACGGGAGGCTGTGTCCACCTTCGACTCTAAAAGACCCTCCATTCCTCCTCCTCTTATGTTCCTGCCCCGCACCCGTGGACTGTTCAAGCGGAGTACTAGAGGCTCAGGCCTCTCCTTCGCGACAGGGATGTGCTACCAGTTATTGCCCCTTGCAAGCGGAGACTGTCGCCTGTGGGGGTGCCCCAAACGTCCCTGTAGGCGCACTATTCTCCATGGGTCCTGCCAAGGGTGTTCACAGTAGAGGCAAACTTATGCTAATCCCCTCCATGCTCAGTTAGCCAGGTCTCAGGGCAGGTGTTGTTACCGTACCTGGGTGTTCACGAAACTTATGCTTCCCAGCTCAGTTAGCCTTAGGTCCTCAGTTAAGCAGAGCATCAACACTGCGTGTGATGGATATTCTGGTGTCACTGGGCTGGATTATCAACCTAAAAAAATCAGACCTCGTTTGGACGCAGGATCTGGTGTTCTTGGGGTCAAGGTTCAACACGGAGCAGGGGATTGTTTCCCTCGCTCCGGACCATATCGTCAAAGTCCAGAGGACTGTGTTACAGTTTCTCGAGTCGCCCCATGCGTCAGCTCGAACATGGCTTTGGTTGCTAGGCAACATGGTGGCGACAGTGGATGTGGTTTGGCGTGCGTGTCTGAGGATGAGACCCGTTCAGCAGGCGTTAGCGCAGCTGTGGTCCCACTCGCAGAGCTACGAGACTATTCTTGCGACGCCCGAGTGGTTGATTCCTCACTTGCGGTGGTGGACGGAAGTCGGGAATTTGTCCAAGGGGATCCCTTTAGACACCCCGACACCTTCCCTCTCAGTTCAGATGGACGCCTCCCTCACAAGATGTGTTCGTGTGTGTGTGTGGGGGTCCTGGGCGACCACTCAGTCTCGGGCATATGGTCGGAGCGGGAAGTCAGCCTGCACATCAATGTGTTAGAATTGAGAGCAGTCCGCCGGGTGTTCGAGAGCTTTCGGGAGTTTGTTCGGGGCCGTGTGGTTCGTCTAGAGATGGACAATCAGACGGCCATGACTTACATCCTCAAGCAAGGCGGCACAGTGTCTCCGTCACTCCTTCAGGAGGCGTGGCAGTTTCTACTATGGTGCGATCAGTTCAACATTCGGGTTTTGCCTGTTTATCTCCCGGGGGTAGACAACGTGCGTGCAGATGCTCTCTCATGGCGTATACTAGCCCCACATGAGTGGATGCTCGACCGGGGGATATTCGGGATTATCTCCCAGTTGTTCGGTCGATTCCAGGTGGATCTGTTTTGGCGTCTGGGGTTCCAGATTCCTGTGTTTTGCTCTTGGATTCCGGATCCCAGAGGGCGCTAGCCAACGATGCCTTTCAGCTAGATTGGACGGGCAGGGTACTGTGGGCGTTCCCACCGATACCACTGATCTCCAGGGTCCTGTCTCAGCTGACCGCGCAACCAGCTCGGCTACTTGTGCTTCTTGCACCCCTTTGGTCGGCTCAAAGTTGGTTTCCGGTAATCATCAGGTTTCTGGCTCAGCCTCCTGTTCTATTACCTTTTCGACCGGACCTCCTATCCCAGAACGGAGCGCCCCCACCCGAATCCCAGGATTCAGTGGGTGGCTTGGCCGCTGTCCGGGATCGCCTCCAAGCGAGCGGAATTCCTGCACCAGTTGCAGACACAATTCTGGCTTCGCGGAGGGATTCGACAGATGTTCAGTATGAGGATAGATGGGCCTGTTATGCGCGCTGGTGTGTCAACAGGGGGATTCTTGATCCCTTTTCTGCAGATTTAGTCTCTGTGTTGGAATTCCTCCAGTCTCGGTTGGATGCCGGTCTAGCGGCTTCAACTGTTCGAGGTTATTCTACGGCTATTTCGGTTTTCCATATTCCTGTTGACGGTGCACTCTTGGGGCAGCACCCTCTTGTGCAGCGTTTTTTAGCAGGCGTGGACAGAATCCGTCCGGTTGTCCGGCGGATTAGTCCCCCCGTGGGACTTGCCAATCGTTCTTGATTGGCTGTCCGGTCCACTATTTCACAATCTGTCGGCTCTTTCACTCCAGCTGTTAACGTTTTCTTAATGGCTGTAAGGCGCTTTTGTTGCTGGAATGGCGGTAACTTCAGGCAGGCGGGTAGGTAGGCGATATTCACGCAATGTCGGCCGATCCCCGCTAAACTGTTTTCACAAAGACAGAGTTAGCATACGGCTGCCTGATACTTACCGTCCTAAGAGAGATAGTGCCTTTCATGTGACGGCGCCTATTGAGCTCCCGGCTTTCACTCAGCCTCCCCTGCCCGGTACCTCTCTACGACGTGCTCACGCCTTAGATGTCCGTAAGACCCTTAAGGCTTATATCAAACGAACAAGGGGTATCCGTAAGGATAACCAATTGTTTTGTTGTTATGGCGGGGTCAAGGCTGGTCTTCAGGCGAACAAGCAAACCATATCTAGGTGGCTTGTCTCTGCCATACATATGAGCTATACTCACAAAGGTCGTATCCCACCTGAAGGTTTGAAAGCTCATTCGGTTAGGGCAGTTGCTACATCGAAAGCTTACGCTGCAGCCCTGCCCATTGAGGAGATCTGCTCCGCGGCTATTTGGAGCCGACCGAGTATGTTCATCCGTCATTACCAACTTGACAGACTCTCCAGTGAGCGTGCTCGGTTCGGTCAGTCAGTTCTCTCCAGTGGGCAAGGTTCCACCTCTCTAGCCGATTGAGCTTTCGAGGTTTTTATGCCATGAACCATTATCTGCCGATTTTAACTGGTGTTGTTTTTTTTAAACTTTTACCTATTCCCTATGTGACGGGTTTTATATGGTGATGGTTTTTATTCCCATGTCTTCTGTATTATTCCGTTCTGCTCTAGACCTATTGCCTTAGAAACCTTTGCTTAATAGAAGTATTACGGCATTTTGTTTCTTGGGGCTTATTGCTGGATTCCCTTATCTTCACTTCCGATTGATCACGGGAGGGAGGGGGTTTATCTCAGCTGTTTACATTAGCGAGGTTTCGCATTGTAATTGTAATGTGTTCGACCCTGACCCTGGCTCATGCCCCCACCTGATTGGCTATGGTGGACACGTGACCAGGTAAGTGAGCTTTTTTCTGCTATTTTTAGCTTGGGAAATTCCACTTCTTGTCGGGGTTGTTTTATGCGGACAGAATGCCACTCCTTAGATCCGTCTTTAGGAGTCTGTCTTATGCTTATAAGTACCCCAAGGAGGAATATATGAAAAAGAATCGAACTAACCTGTAGAGGTTTCAGATTCTTTGAATATATTCCTCCTTGGGGTACGCCCGCCCACCTCCCCACATTCTGTCTGATTTCGTTCAGCATGGAAAGTGAGGTACGAGGTTATAGTCTAGAGTTACCTGCTCTTGGCTGTAGGGGCCCGTAGGGCCCTGTAGGGGTGGTCTCACAAGACAAAAACGTAGTTTTTGTTTTGTAAATATTTTATTCAAATATTGTTACAATTGTCGTAGGGATTTTAAATGGACATTTAAATGCTTATAAGTACCCCAAGGAGGAATATATTCAAAGAATCTGAAACCTCTACAGGTTAGTTTGGTTCATGGCACGCCAGTGTGCTTTGTGTGTGCTCATCTAGCCAAGAGGCCAATCTCAGGTCAATGAACGGAACGCTGACTATGTGGAGATTACGCGCAAGATGATGTTCCCAATGGTAAGTGTTCTCCTTTGTCCTTTAATAAGGGGTGGGGTGGGGTTGGGTGGTGGGGAAGAGGACTGGGGATAATCTTGAAGTGCCTTGGATTTGGTTTTATGTGCCACTTATACTACTTATAACAGGGACTGTACATCTCGTGTATACTTTATCATGGAATTATGTTGCTTGTTAAAAAGTGTGATTGTTGCAAAACTCTGAGTGTGGGATAACTGAGAAAATCAAAGCAGGTTATTAGTTATAACCAACTAGAAGACTGAGAACCCAAGCTCCATGGCTGGAGTTTAAAGTTCTCTTCTTGACTTTTTAAAAGTATATGGTGTCTTGAGACATGTTAATCAGATATTTGTTTACATTGGATGATTAATACAGACATGCTTTTGTAAAAATTTCATTTTTTAATCCAAATGATAGCAATCCATAATAAATGGCCCAACAATCACTGACTGCCCCCATCAAGCTCTGTCTTCTCACAACAGGACAAGGCTTGAGGAACACGAGTTCTCTGTGGCTGCTGTGTTAGCTATGAAATCATCACATATCATTAGTGAGAGGTTGACAGATCTGATTACTCTGGCTAAGACTAATATATTGGATATACATTCCTAATATGAAGCATGTACACATTGAATATGATTACCAACCTTCAATTATTATACCAGTGTTTCACTGCGGTTTATTAAACTTATTAAAGGTTTAGCCATATATCTCCTGTACAATGATGGGATACCACTGTAGGCTGCATCTTCTATATTCTCTCTAATTATGGTATGTGTGTACATTTTTATATACACACAAATTCTGACAGTTATGACAATGTATTGATGTTTCTTGTGGCCTCAGGTTCAGAACTGTTGACCAAAGATAGCTATTTATGAAGAAATTTTAAGTTATCACTTCACCGGATCCCAGCACAGATGTTGTGTCTCATCACAATCAGTGTGAACTTATTGCATGAGTTTTGTCAGTCTGTCAGGCCCCTCAAAAGTACCCATCATCGACTCTAATCGGGAAAGTGTAACCCTAAACCATTTGTCTCCAGTTGCATCTTTGTTCTGATCACCGTCCCCGGTACGCCACTACTGTAAATGTGTTGTGCTTCAGGACCAATAAACCGGAGTTGGCCATGTTAAAATAGGTTTTTACTCATATACTACAAATTACCATCTGAAAGAAAATCTTTCACAGAATGGTAATAAAACAACCTACCGGTACCTGCCACATTTTGGTAGAGAATAAGCTTTCTATCACAATTCTCACAAATGACCATGTCTGCAGAACATGTTCTGTATATGTCCACTATTGAATTTAAAATACGCCCTCCACAGCAATATTAGTCTGAAAACAGATTTGATGCCAAAGTTGTTTTCTTTGTTCATTAGCCCCCAGCGGTGGGGTAGGGGTCGCCTAGTGGTTAAAGCGTTCGCTCGTCATCGAAAGCCTGGGTTCTATTCCCCACATGAGTACAATGCGTGAAGCCCATTTCTGGTGTCCCCCGCCATGATATTGCCTGAATATGTATTGCTAAAAGTGGCGTAAAACTAAACTCACTCATTCACTCATTAGAACCCCTTGATAAAATGGTACATGTACATTGTAATAAATTGAAAATGGCTTCTGTGGCATAGATCTGTAAAATGGATTGACTTTTATTGTAAAGTACACTTACTTAATACTTGAATCAAACCCTTCTTTATCAACTGAAATGTTAGTTGAAACGTATAAATATGTATTTAAAATGGTTTTCTTTGTCTTGAGTATGTACATTATCGCAATATCACAATGAATACGAAAATGGGATGAAAATAAAGAGACATAACATAAAACTAAGAGAACTATATAATACATGGTCCTAGAAAACACTGAAATCTGTAGTGGAGCCATTATCTCTATAAACATGTAACCATCAACCTTTGACCTCATCAGTTCCAGGTGTCAGATATCCCTAATCTACTTCCTGATCCACAGGGTTAGGTAATCAGTCAGTGTGTACATTTATGGAAATAAATTTTATTTTAATTCAAGTATTCTAACAATACAGATGTATTTAGAAAATTGTGTCTAAATACGTCTTCACTGACAGCACAGTGGAAGTTTACGAGACCCTAAATATTTCATAATAATGTATGTGCAGTGTCAGGGGAGTGTTCAAATGTTGTCGCATATTACACGTGTTAGATGGGGATGGGAAACAGTTTACCTGGATAGGCTGCTTTTCTGGAAAGTTTTCTATTTCAGTGAAGTTAATCTATTCTGCTACTGTTGACATGATTTGTGATATTTTGATAAAAGATATTGTAGCTATTGTACAAATATCCTACAGTTCTCAACATGTGTATGTATCGCAAAGAACATCTAAAGTGATCTTGGAAACTCAATTCCTGTTGTACTACAGGATAATGGACTGTGAAGGGTTAACAAGCAGACACAATTGCTTGGTAGCCCAAGTGATATCCCACCAACCCTATATAAACATGGCACACGGAGAACTGTCTGATGTAGATACATTGCCATTTTGCTAGATATGAGTTCTTACAAAAGTTACATATTGACATTTTAACATGAGATATGATGATATCCCAAGAAAACCTAAACATATAACAAGGAAACATACATAATATTTTTAAAAGTCTTGTGAGAAATATCTGTAGAGTGTCCTTAAAGGTTTCAAGGATGAAACAGACATCAATGGTTCAAAATACACAATTTGAAGTTGCTTTGTTTATAAGATTTGATTTCATGTTACCATTTCCTGATTCTCAAAAGTCATGCACAAACAATTAAGGGTACTTGACATTTTGTAAATTTAGTATTGCTGGAAATATTTTATAAATTATTTCACTCTCTGCAAAAATTGATTTTGAGTGGCCAAGCAACTGATTTATATTACAGAGGACACATGGGCATTTTTGCTTTTATCAGTGAATCTTGGTGTGACATATTTGTATCATCACACCTGGCAGATTCTAATGTGTGGGTGAAACTGGCATCACATAATATAAAAAGGTTTGTTGTTAAAAAGAAAAATCAACAATACCAGCAAATTAGTACTGGTATAAAGCAGTGAATTATATTTTCACATGGGGAAGTGGGGTGGGGGTATACACAATAAAATAACAGATTTAGGTCATGTAGAAAAATAGTTATTAGTTGTTCAGGAAACTCAAGGAAAGGGTATCACTTTCATGATTAGGAGTTTTGTGCAATCCAACCACTAAAGCAAAATAGAGGTGATTACTGTTAGCTGATAAGAATCTAAAAAATGATCAAAAGCCCTTACAAAAAACTATTTACAAACATGAGTGTTGATAACCAGGGACACAGGCACTAGTCAGTGAAAACCTAGAGGGACTAGATATCGGCCCCCTGTTGTTAAGTTACATCTGCTCTGTAATGAGTGGTGATGTAGATGAATATAGCTGATGGTGTCTGGCTCAGGTTGTACCTGCTGAGTGTATAAACATATTATGCCATGCCTCCAGCCACTGTGCCCAACTATATGTGTATGTTTCTCTCTACAGGATATGTGTATGGTATGTATATCCACAGCATGTGTAGAGTGCATGCATCTTATGTACATTGACCCTCCTAGCAGGCTAGTTCAGTCTTGTCTCGTACCATGTGTTCAGTAACCAGGCCTTGTAATGCTTTCACTGTGGAAGGTATGTTTGAGTGTGTAGACTGAGGAGTGTGTCACTGTGTTCAACCTGTATATCAGATGCTGGCTGTGGTTTTTGACTTAGCTGGAAGATGCTGTGTTGGCAGAGGCTGAAAAGTCAGTGAATGGTTCCGAAGTTGGTTATCTTTCTCTTGATTTTTCAGTGTAATATATACCTCCATTCTAAGTAGGTCATCTCCTGCTCCCATTTGTTGCCATGGTTTCGTTTGGGAGGAGATGATACCATCTGTAACTTTTCACATTTTCTTTGTCAGGTGGGTGTAATTTGAGTGTACAACTACTTTTTAGCTGTTATGATTATGAAATCATTCAGTGCAAACCTATGTCAGTCAATGCAGGGTATTGTCATAATAGAATGTACATATTTTACACTGGATGATAGAAGATTGTTAACTACATGTAATGCTAATGTATGGGCTGTGACTATGTACCGAGTGCACTACACATCAGCCTTGGTTATAGTTGTATTAGCCAGCCATGTACAACTGCCATACTAGGTGTTATATGTATACTTGTGGCGGTTGGTTTTTGAAACATGGTAATCACTGGAACATAGTTTAAACATCTTGGTGAAGTGTTTTACATGGTGACGTAGCATGTGATTGTGGTCAGGTTGGTTGTATGTGCTGGAGAGTGTCAGAAGTCTTGTGTTGTTGCTCCAACAATGTCACGACTAACATGCATGCTTCTAATCTCAATGTCCAAATCAAAATTCACAAATGGTGACTAATGCAAGCTCTAACCCGTTCCTTGTACAACGTTTACATCATTTCCTCACAGAGCAGCAAGCCCCTTGAGCTTGACACCAGGACATGTGTGCCTGGAGCCCCTCACATGTCTTGTATAATTAACTACAGCACCAGATGCTCATCAAGGTGATGCAGAGGTCAGATGACTGGCAGGAATGTCCAGTATCTAGGTCCACCATGCTTGCATTAATATAAAATGTTGTCTTCCTGATGATTTTAATGTTCTGTTAGGGTGTTGAATGATTTGCTTCTAGAAATCTGATCTTTTTTATTAGTTTCAAGTATTGTTTTCCAGTCTTTGCATGGATTTACTATTTCTACAGTTGTGATGTATGTTTTATCTCTTTGTAGGATATCTGTCCTATAAAAAGCCTGGACATTGTCAGATTATGTTAGACCTGCCCTACTGGCTGGAGAATGGAACAGTCACACAGTCCTTATGACAAAATATGTGTATTTGTGTCAGCAGAAAGCTGTTTTCTATCAGTTTTTCATGTCATGTTTTCATTCACTTTTGTACATGTATTTGTTAACAAATTAATTACACCATGGTTACATGACGGACACCATGGTTACGCCATGGACACCACATTGACTTGGTGGACATTATGGTTTCTTGACATACATCATGATGGGCACCACTGTTACACAACAGACACTACATCACAGACACTATGGTTACATGACAGGCATCATGGTTACATGTCGGGCATCATGGTTACACGACAGGCATCACGGTTACATGACAGGCATCATGGTTACACGACAGGCATCATGGTTACATGACAGGCATCATGGTTACATGACAAGCATCATGGTTACACGACAGGCATCATGGTTACATGTCGGGCATCATGGTTACATGACAGGCATCTTGGTTACATGACAGGCATCATGGTTACATGACAGGCATCATGGTTACACGATGGGCATCATGGATACATGACAGGCATCAAGGTTACATGACAGGCATCATGGTTACATGACAGACATCATGGTTACATGACAGGCATCATGGTTACATGACAGGCATCATGGTTACACGATGGGCATCATGGATACATGACAGGCATCATGGTTACATGACAGGCATCATGGTTACATGACAGGCATCATGGTTACATGACAGCCATTATGGTTACATGACAGGCATCATGGTTACATGACAGCCATCATGGTTACATGACAGCCATCATGGTTACATGACAGCCATCATGGTTACATGACAGACATCATGGTTACATGACAGACATCATGGTTACATGACAGGCATCATGGTTACATGACAGGCATCATGGTTACATGACAGACATCATGGTTACATGACAGCCATCATGGTTACATGACAGCCATTATGGTTACATGACAGACATCATGGTTACATGACAGACATCATGGTTACATGACGGTTATGACGTTACATCATGGACGTTTCATCATGGTTACATGACAGACATCATGGTTACATGACAGACATCATGGTTACACGATGGGCATTATGGTAACATGACAGGCATCATGGTTACATGACAGGCATCATGGTTACATGACAGACATCATGGTTACATGACAGACATCATGGTTACATGACAGACATCATGGTTACACGATGGGCATTATGGTAACATGACAGGCATCATGGTTACATGACAGACATCATGGTTACACGATGGGCATTATGGTAACATGACAGCCATCATGGTTACATGACAGGCATCATGGTTACATGACAGACATCATGGTTACATGACAGGCATCAAGGTTACATGACAGGCATCATGGTTAGATGACAGCCATCATGGTTACATGACAGGCAGCATGGTTACATGACAGGTAATATGGTTACATGACAGCCATCATGGTTACACGACAGGCATCATCGTTCCACGACAGGCATCATGGTTACATGACAGGCATCACAGATACATGACAGGCAGTATGGTTACACGACAGACAGACATCATGGTTACACGACAGGCATCATGGTTACATGACAGGCATCACAGATACATGACAGGCAGTATGGTTACACGACAGACAAACATCATGGTTACACGACAGGCATCATGGTTACATGACAGGCATCATGGTTACGTGACAGGCAGTATGGTTACACGACAGACAGACATCACGGTTACATGACAGGCATTGTGTTTCATGACAGACACCATGTCTAAAGGTTGGGGATTATGGTTACACAACAGACGTTGTGGATAGATGTTGGATGATGTGGTTGCATGATGGAAGTAATGCATATTGCATCCTTCTGTATATATGTTGTAAGTTGATAGAAAACTTACTGTTAATGTATCAGATGACCTCTTTTGGCCATACACTCTGTATCTAGGGGGTATGAAAACACAGGCCTCAGAGGTGAAGGTGACCAGTATTTGACAAACTATAGATGCCTTCATGTGAGTAAAATATTAGAATTCATTGCAAGAACAAGCTTAACAACTACTTCAGGAAAAGGTTAAAATTTAATGGCTTGGTGAGTTTGATAACCTGAGTTGGTGTATTTCTTGCTCCCTTCTGTGTATGTTTTACTGATGGAAAACCAAAATCTGTACCAAATATTAAACCACATGGAAAAACTTGAATGTTTTGAGATAATAGTAACAGTAGTTATTGAATCATTTAGAGGCTGTGTTCTGACAACTGCCATTCACGGCAACAACATTATTATATAGTTACAGCTTATCACTCTCCTTCCATACCTACTTTATTGAAACAAGTCTGTATTGCAGACCAGATTACACGTGTGTTAGGTTCAGGATCACTGTGTATGGAAGGGCTCGACTATATATGTCTGGTGTAAGACTAGTGTGTTTTGCGAATGGTGTAAGATTAGTGTGTATTGCAGGGCCGGACTATCTCTAGTCACGACTACGTGTTCTGGTGCGGAGACTTCAACTACCGCATCGACATGGACATAGAGCAGGTGAAGGACCTCGTCCGCAGTGAGAACTGGGCAGCCCTGCAGCACTATGACCAACTTAATGTACAACGGGCGGAGGGCAAGGTAAGTTTTCAGTGAGTTCAGGGGCAGTATGGTAGAATAGTGTTTAAAGTGTCTGCTCATCCCCAAGATGAGCACAGTTTGAGAAGCCTGTTCCTGATGTCCCCAGCAATGATATTATAAGAATATTGCTAAAATGGTGTAAAACCCACTAAAGTCAAACAACAAAAGGTTTTTATACATGCCTTGGAAAGAAAATTCATTTGAAACAAGTCTAATGTGTACCTATCATGAATTAAATTCTTTTGCTTGTAGTTTCATGGGTCGGTGGGGTAGCCTAGTGGTTAAAGCGTTGGCTCGTCACGCCGAGGACCCGGGTTCGAATCCCCACATGGGTACAATGTGTGAAGCCCATATCTGGTGTCCCCCTCCGTGATGTTGCTGGAATATTGCTAAAAGCGGCATAAAACCAAAACTCAGTCAGTCAGTTGTAGTTTCATGGAAACACTTGCATTCCAATTGCTCTCATTGGAATTGCCAGGACTGATGTTTAGATTGGTCAAGAATGATGTGTCTGTATGTGTACTTGTTGTGTAGGGGTTTGCTGGATTCAGTGAGGGGAAGACCAATTTCGCACCTACCTACAAGTATGATCTGTTCAGTGATGACTACGACACCAGTGAGAAGTCTCGCACACCAGCATGGACAGACCGGGTGCTCTGGAGGCGTAAACACCTCCTACCAAGAGAGCGTGAGTGTAGATGTACAGCTTCAGATGTCTTAGTGTAGATGTACAGCTTCAGATGTCTTCGTGTAGATGTACAACTTCAGATGTCTTAGTGTAGATGTACAGCTTAAAATGTCTTAGTGTAGATGTACAGCTTCAGATGTCTTAGTGTAGATGTTCAACTTCTGATATCTTAGTGTAGATGTACAGCTTCAGATGTCTTAGTGTAGATGTACAGCTTCAGATGTCTTAGTGTAGATGTACAGCTTCAGATGTCTTAGTGTAGAGATTCAGCTTCAGATGTCTTAGTGTAGATGTACAGCTTCTGATATCTTAGTGTAGATGTTCAGCTTCTGATATCTTAGTGTAGATGTACAGCTTCAGATGTCTTAGTGTAGATGTACAGCTCCAGTTGTCTTAGTGTAGATGTACAGCTTCAGATGTCTTAGTGTAGATGTACAGCTTCAGATGTCTTAGTGTAGATGTACAGCTTCAGATGTCTTAATGTAGATGTACAGCTTCAGATGTCTTCGTGTAGATGTACAGCTTCAGATGTCTTAGTGTAGATGTACAGCTTCAGATGTCTTAGTGTAGATGTTCAGCTTCAGATGTCTTACGTGTAGATGTACAGCTTCAGATGTCTTCGTGTAGATGTACAGCTTCAGATGTCTTAGTGTAGATGTACAGCTTCAGATGTCTTAGTGTAGATGTACAGCTTCAGATGTCTCAGTGTAGTTGTGTAGCTTCAGATGTCTTAGTGTAGATGTACAGCTTCAGATGTCTTAGTGTAGATGTACAGCTTCAGATGTCTTAGTGTAGATGTTCAGCTTCAGATGTCTTAGTGTAGATGTACAGCTTCAGATGTCTTAGTGTAGATGTACAGCTTCAGATGTCTTAGTGTAGATGTACAGCTTCAGATGTCTTAGTGTAGAGATTCAGCTTCAGATGTCTTAGTGTAGATGTACAGCTTCAGATGTCTTAGTGTAGATGTACAGCTTCAGATGTCTTCGTGTAGATGTACAGCTTCAGATGTCTCAGTGTAGATGTACAGCTTCAGATGTCTCAGTGTAGTTGTGTAGCTTCAGATGTCTTAGTGTAGATGTACAGCTTCAGATGTCTTAGTGTAGATGTACAGCTTCAGATGTCTTAGTGTAGATGTTCAGCTTCAGATGTCTTAGTGTAGATGTACAGCTTCAGATGTCTTAGTGTAGATGTACAGCTTCAGATGTCTTAGTGTAGATGTACAGCTTCAGATGTCTTAGTGTAGAGATTCAGCTTCAGATGTCTTAGTGTAGATGTACAGCTTCAGATGTCTTAGTGTAGATGTACAGCTTCAGATGTCTTAGCGTAGATGTACAGCTTCAGATGTCTTAGTGTAGATGTACAGCTTCAGATGTCTTAGTGAAGATGTACAGCTTCAGATGTCTTAGTGTAGATGTTCAGCCATCTAAGAGAGTAGACATATAGCTGGAGATGTCACTGTGTGGATGGTAAAACTGCAGGGGTGTGTGAGGGTGTACGTGGTAAAACTGCAGGTGTGTGTGAGGGTGTACATGGTAAAACTGCAGGTGTGTGTGTGTGAGGGTGTACATGGTAAAACTGCAGGTGTGTGTGAGGGTATACATGCTAAAATTGCAGATGTGTGTGAGGGTGTAGATGGTAAAACTGCAGGTGTGTGTGTGTGTGAGGGTGTACATGGTAAAACTGCATGTATGTGTGTGAGGGTGTACATGGTGAAACTGCAGGGGTGTGTGAGGGTGTAGTTGGTAAAACTGCAGGTATGTGTGAGGTTGTACATGGTAAAACTGCATGTATGTGTGTGAGTGTGTACATGGTAGAACTGCAGGTGTGTGAGGGTGTAGTTGGTAAAACTGCATGTATGTGTGTGAGGGTGTACATGGTAAAACTGCATGTATGTGTGTGAAGGTGTACATGGTAAAACTGCATGTATGTGTATGAGGGTGTACATGGAAAAACTGCAGGTGTGTGTGAGGGTGTACATGGTAAAACTGCAGGTGTGTGTGAGAATCTACATGCTAAAATTGCAGGTGTGTGTGAGGGTGTAGATGGTAAAACTGCAGGTGGGTGTGAGAGTCTACATGCTAAAACTGCAGGTGTGTGTGAGGGTGTAGATACTGAAACTGGAGGTGTGTGTGAAGGTGTACATGGTAAAACTGCAGGTGTGTGAGAGTCTCAATGCTAAAACTGCAGGTGTGTGTGAGGGTGTAGATGGTAAAACTGCAGGTGTGTGTGAGAGTGTAGGTGGTAAAACTGCAGGTGTGTGTGAAGTTGTACATGGTAAAACCTCAAGGTGTGTGTGAGGGTGTACATTGTAAAGCTGCAGGTGTGTGTGAGGGTGTACATGGTGATATTGCAGGTGTGTGATTGTGAATGGTAAAACTGCAGGTGTGTGTGAGGGTGTACATGGTAAAACTGCAGGTGTGTGTGAGGGTGCACATGGTAAAACTGCAGGTGTGTGTGAGGGTGTACATGGTGATATTGCAGGTGTGCATGTGTGGATGGTAAAACTATAGGTGTGTGTGAGGGTGTACATCATAAAGCTGCAGGTGTGTGAGGGTGTACATGGTGATATTGCAGGTGTGTTTGTGAATGGTAAAACTGCAGGTGTGTGTGAGGGTGTACATGGTAAAACTGCAGGTGTGTGTGAGGGTGCACATGGTGATATTGCAGGTGTGTGTGTGTGTGTGTGTGGATGGTAAAACTGCAGGTATGTGAGGGTGTACATGGTAAAACTGCAGGTGTGTGAGTGTGTAGATGCTTAAACTAAAATTATTGACATGCACATGTGACTAAGTGTTACAAGCTTTACAGAAAACAATAATAGAAAAAATAACACATGGTGAATTATCCTATCTGCTTACATCAATCCAATATTATTAAGCCTAATATTTTGGTTCCAAATAATCTATTTTATTTGAACACCATAAGGTTATAACATGGTTTTCTGCTACAGAGGAGGAAGATGACCCGAGCTGGAGTGAGGGGAAGTTGATATTGTATGATCGGGCGGAGTTGAAGACATCAGATCACAGGTAACAGCTACACATTGATTGTCTCAGACCCAGAACCACACTTGTTTCTCTTCCACCGGCCCTTTCTGTAATGCACAAACCCAAAATGAAACAAGTCTACATTTGACTCATGTTTAGGGTTATCACAAGGGCACATTTTTAATTTACATGGAGATGTTTTCAGAGGCTAAGCATTTCTTCAGCAATCATTGTTTCCTTTATGTGGACAGCTTACTGGGCTGAAGGTTTTCTTCATGTCTATTTGTTTTATTAAAGTTGACACCAACTACCATATATTGCTTCCCTCTTTAAACCCCTCTTAATTTTAGGTACAAAAAACTAACTTGCCATATATGGGATGATATACAGGAGCTGAAATGAAACAAACCGTAGTGATGATACTACTCTCTGGTGCTGTTTTAGTGCTATTTTTAGCTTCTTGAATGACATTTCTGAGTTATCCATGGACTACACACAAGTATTACCCAATGTCCATAGAGACAGGTGCTATCTCTGCTCTCTGATTCAGGCCTGTGCTGGCCCTCCTGGACATTGACGTGCTGGCAGTTGACGAGGCTTGCAAGGAGAAGGTGATGCACGAAGTTGTTGCTCAACAGGGACCACCAGATGGCACTGTCATCGTGTCTCTGGCATCGGGGGCAGAGTTTGATGATGAGATTATAGACCAAGTGGTCAGCACCTTCACTGAGATTGGAGACGTCACAGTCGTCAGGTGGGTTTGTGAAACAACATCAATATTGCTGAGTGTGGACTCACTCACTCACTCATGAACAAGACTCATCACTCATGCAGACATTGTTTACAATATTCTTTCTTGAACAGTAATCCAGCCACCAGCAGATTGTGGTCAATGTTGAACTAAGATGAACTAAAATGAAAAAAATGTATCATATCGTTAGGTGTCATTTTGTACTTTTCCTTGTATAAGTTTACAATGTACAATACGTCAGCAGAATGGATGTATCTCATTACCAGTTGTGTAACAGGAATATTTGGTGTCCATTCACACAGGTTTGTGGGCAGTGACATGTGGATCATCTACAAGAGTGGGGACGCTGCCCTTGAGGCCCAGGCTCTGGACCAGCACCAGGTCAATGGAGAGACCATTCGAGTGAGATTGTGCACTCCGGACTGGCGTGATGTCATTGAAAAGGAGCTGAAGATGTGTGCACTCAACACGACAGCTCTCTACAATCAGTTCTCCAACAGTCTGCTGGGAGATGATTTCAGCATGCCTGCCATGGACTATGTCATGGATGATGGTGGGTACCAAGTCAACCCTCATAGCTGATTCAAAATATGTCTAAGCCTCTAGGATGAAGAATGTTGTTGTAGTCTTTCTTACTTTGAAAGGGTGTCCATGAAATGCTTGATTAGCTTGAACCTGGAGCTGATGCCATTTCCTTTAATGGCAGCAACCATGGCTTTGTATGAGGGAGTTATCCTCCTACTGTTAACTGATGTGATGAAATGACAATGTTTAGTTCGACTGATTATTGAGGAAGAGTTTATCAAGTGTGTCATTCTTTCTGTAGTCCAGCGGATAATGGCATGATTTGTATGCAATTGTGCATTTTCATGTTACAAGTGAAATTTTAGTTAAAATACTAAGAAAATAATATTCTAACATGTTTCAGATAGGGAGGCACTCAAAAATATGTTTTAATATTTTTGTATTAAGCTCCAAACAAATCTTGTGAAATATTGAGCCACTGTTATTTGTTGTGTGGAAAGTACTAGAAATGAGGTGAAATGAGAGTGATCTCCCCTTTGTTGTGACTTTGATATTATGTCATCAATCAAGGTTACAATGATGTAATTGGTCAATTAGAGGGAGTTATCCTCCTACTGTTAACTGTTAGTATGTCTGTTGAAATATATGTGATGAAATGACAATGTTTAGTTCGACTGATTATTGAGGACGAGTATACCAAGTATATCAAACATCAATTATGAAGTGATATGTTTTCAGTTTATTTCACTATGAGTTGACTTTCCGTTTCTCATGTACCAGACGAGGGTGACTTGCTCACTGGAGATGATGCCACTTTGCCCACTCCCCTTGCGCACGGTCCAGGAATAGCAGTCCGTCATCTTCAGGTCAGTACTTAGGTCTTTCTGCAGCTGTGTTACAACATGCTCCAATAGACAGTGTTAGAGCCGAATTTTAGGCATTTGCTGTACATGCAAAATATTATATTTGTAACTTTGTTAGGGTTTGTGTGTGAGAGGCTGCATGTGCTTAGTATATAGATATTAGTCGAGACATAAGAATCTGCCAGCCCCTGCTGCCAGCAAATGTCCGAGGCTACATTCACAGGACTGGTGGCAGCTGTGATTTACCACTGCAACTAAGACTTATAGACTAATTGTCTTCTTGGGGTCCTATGGGTTCTGACCTGATCAACCACGATAAGTGGCCGACCAAGAATTTAAGCGACACATGTGGAATGAAAGAGTGTGAGAAAGGGACAGAGAGCTTTAAGATACTGAAGCAGTAAGACATGTTTTTAAGTTTCTAAGAGAGTGTTATAGAATTGTGTGTTGTGGGCTTAGAGGACATACGGTTTTTCAACCTGTCCAGCCACTGTCCAGCTATTGTCCAGCCACTGTGCATTAATTGCCTAGACATTGTCTAGTCACTGTTAAATTAACGTTTAGGTACTGTTATTCTGTCATTGTGTGGATTGGATTGTGAAGAAGTGTAGTAAGAAAGCTCGGAACTTGAGATTAAAGGACATTTTGAAATCACTGGACTGAGTTGAAACTTTTACATCCTCTACCCCCAACAGCGAGATAATTTAAGAACTCACATTCAAAGTTGAAAAACCCGTGAAAACCCGGATGTGAACCTAAGACTTGGACAAAGAATTTTGTGCGGAAGAATTGTGCAATCATCAAAATGGATTAACGCAAACTGGATTGAGGACTCAAAGCTGAAGTAAGTTATTCATTTAGTTTTTCTTAAAGAAGATTGAGCTTGTCAAGCAAATGGAACTGATATGTGTTCAAGGATGTGCTAACAGGATTTAAGAAGACCACATGTTCAAGTATTTATTCAGAAACAGGAGGGATTATATTTCATTGGAACTGTGTGTTCATTTAGGATTAAGGAATTCAAGAACTGTAAGTTATTTCAAGATTATTCGAACTGTTCGACTAATTTTTCACCATGGCAAGCAGAACATTGAGCGATACTGTTCACAGTGATAAAGGACTGACTCATGAGCTTAGGAGAAATGCTAAATCTGTGATAACAGAATCACGAATAAGAAAACCAACGGAAAAGGGCCAAAGCTATAATTTGAATACAGCATTGGAAAAAAGAAAATTCCTGTATAAACAAGTGTGTTCAAAGGTAAACTACATTGAATACTTGATGAGCTCTGACGCTCTGGATGATGTAAAAATTGAGTTTCAAGAATGGAAAGAGCTATTTTTGAAATTTAAAGAATCGGCTGAAACTTATCACAATAAACTTGAAAGTCAATCAGCGAAAGAGGAAGACGAAGCCTGGTTCCAGTCACAGTTAGGTGCCTTAGTACAGTTTGAGACAAATGTTGCTTCGTTTATTAAACCCTGTGATACAGAAAATGAAATAAGGCCTGAAGATAGCGTTTCGCAAGTCGGGACACGTAAGGGTTCAGTCATATCATCTGCCTCCTCTGCTAAAATGGAAATCTTGGCAAAAAGGGCCGAACTTGTTGCTAGACAGAAAGGATTAGAGCAAAAGCATCAACTGGAAGAAGAAGAGAACAGGTTAAAACAAAGGAGAGAAAGATTAGAACTTGAGACAGAAGTGGAAATCGCAAATGCTCAGTATGCAATTTTTGACCAATATGACCAAGAATCTAACGGTTCGCAAAAGAAAGATCATCCCCAAAAGTCCTTCAACCCATCAAATAGCCGAAATGAAGTGTTGAATCCACTTGCAAGAGAATTCACCCTGAACCAGAACACAAGCTCACCAGCTGGAGTCAGCAATACACACTTCGATGAAGTGTGTAAACAACAGAATGAAATAATGCAGCTTGTGGTAGAACACCAGAAGCTAGCCAGTCTACCCTTTAGGAAAATACCTACGTTTAGTGGCGACCCATTACAATTTAAGCCTTTCATAAGAGCTTTTGAACATGCTATAGAAGACAAGACCATTAATCCCAAGGATAGACTCTATTACTTGGACCAGTACACCAGCGGTGAACCAAATGACTTGGTAAGAAGCTGTATTCACATGAATCCGGAAAGTGGTTATGAACAAGCCAGGTCATTGTTGGATAAGAAATTTGGGAACAAATACAAGCTTGCAGCAGCTTACATGGACAAAGCCTTGAAATGGCCAGCTATAAAGTCAGAAGACAGTGATGCACTGACCAGCTTTTCTATATTCCTGACAAGTTGTGGAAATACCATGGCAGATATAGAGTACATGAGAGAATTAGAACATCCCAAAAACCTCAGGGAACTGATTCAAAAGTTGCCATACAAATTAAGAGAAAGATGGAGGGCAGTTTCATTTGATATCTTGGAAAGAAGAAATGTCACCTTTGCAGACCTTGCTCGTTTCGTGGATAGACAAGCACAGATACTGTCGAGTCCACTGTTTGGCACAATTGCCGACGACAGACAAGCTCAACCAAAGCCTAACCCGAAAGAAGCACCTAAGAGATTTAAGAGCTTTGCCACTGATACATCGAAATCTGAATCGCGAATTCATGAGACACAAAGTAAGCCATTCACAGCACGAGAGAGAGCTTTGAGGGCATTCGCCAAGCCATGCTGGTTCTGCGACGAGGATCACTGTATGGAAATGTGCATAAGACTTCAGTGTAAGACACTGGATGAAAAAATTGACTTTCTAAGACCAAAGGGATTGTGTTTTGGCTGTCTACAGTTCGGACACACAAGTCGCCAGTGCCCCAGCAGATTGACCTGTCATATCTGCAAAATGAGACATGCAACGTGTTTCCATGACAACAATAAAGATAAACTAAAGAAGGAAAAGGATCAGACGGGCCAAAAGGTTGTAACAAACAACAGTTTGGCTACACGTCACAGTGAAGATCTCAAAGACTTGAGCTATATGCCTGTAGTTCCTGTTAGAATCAAAGTCGGCACTGGGGACAGATATGTAAAGACATATGCCTTCCTTGACAACGGCAGTTCAGCAACCTTCTGCACAAGCAGGTTGGCTGACGAGCTTCATGTCACAGGGAAGATGACAAATATAGTTGTCAGCACCATGACTCAAAAGAAGTCTGTGAATACCTCCATTCTAACAAACCTAGAAGTAGGTGACATCCATGGAAGGAACTGGATCAAATTACCTACAGTATTCACACAGGATGAAATGCCTATTTCCACAAGCACTATTCCCAAAGAAGAGTTCATTCATCAATGGCCGCATCTATGGGACGTCACACTACCACCTATAGATGCAGAGATAGGGCTGCTAATAGGCAACAATGTACCTATGGCATTGGAACCCCTGGAAATAGTCAACAGTCATGGTAACGGACCCTATGCTGTAAGAACGATTCTTAGCTGGATGGTAAATGGGCTTGTCCAGGAATCTGAATCTCCCAGCAAGATCTCAGTCAACAGAACTGATGTTCTAGCAGATGAGTCCCTTGATCATCAGTTGAGAGGATACTTCCACAGAGAATTTAACGAGGGCCTCAGCAATGATAAAGAAGAACTGTCAAGAAATGATCAGCATTTCTTGGATATAATGAACTCATCCAAGAGATTAACAGGAGGACACTACCAGATGTCTCTGCCATTCAAAGATTCCAAAATCAAATTACAAACAATAAAATACAGGCCAAAGAAAGAGCCATTTCGCTTAAGAAGAAGTTTCTGAAGAATGATGATTTCTACAGAGATTACAAAGGCTTTATGAAGGATCTCCTAGACAAAGATTATGCCCAAAGGGTTCCCGAGAGTAAGAAAGATCGTCAGGATGGGAAGGTGTGGTACATACCACATCATGGTGTATACCATCCAAAGAAACCAGATAAGATAAGAGTAGTATTTGACTGTGCAGCAGAATACAGAGGAAAATCACTAAATGACCACCTGCTACAGGGGCCGGATCTCACCAATGCCTTAATTGGAGTGTTCCTGAGATTTCGCCAAGAACCAATAGCTCTAATGGCGGACATTGAAGCCATGTTTTACCAGGTCAGAGTTGAACCAGATGATTATGATGTTCTAAGATTCCTTTGGTGGCCCAATGGAAATCTCGATGAAGAATTACAGGAATATCAGATGAAAGTGCACTTGTTTGGCGCTGTCTCTTCACCAACTTGTGCCAACTTTGCACTGAAAGAAACAGCAAAAGACAACAAGGACATGTTTAGCAACAATGTGACCCATGCCCTTGAAAAGAGTTTCTATGTGGATGACTGTCTCATGTCAGTCGCGTCTGACGAAATAGCGATTGAGATGTCACAGAAACTGAGAGAAATCTGCAGTAAAGGTGGATTCCGTTTGACAAAATGGATAAGTAACAGCAGAGCTGCAATAAACTCAATCCCAGAAGAGGATCGAGCCAAAGAAGTTAAAGACTTAGACATAGATGATGCCTTGCCAGTGGAGAGGGCATTAGGTGTACAATGGTGTGTCGAATCAGACACATTTAAGTTCAGGATAGCAGTCAAAGACAAACCAGTAACGAGAAGAGGTATTCTGTCAACTGTCAGCTCCATATATGATCCACTGGGATTTGCAGGTCCTTTTGTTCTCAAAGCAAAGGGCATTCTACAAGACCTTTCCAGACTTAAGATAGGATGGGACGACGTCATTCCTATTCCGTCCCAGAAAGACTGGACCAAATGGTTGTCAGAACTACAAAGGCTTGAGGAAATGAAGATAAGAAGGTGCATTCAACCCAAGGATAGTGATCAGAATGCAATATCCCAAATACACCACTTCTCAGATGCCAGTCAAAAGGGTTATGGAACTGTTTCCTATTTAAGACAAGTCAGTACCACTGGACAAGTTAATTGCTCATTTCTTATTAGCAAGTCTAGAGTTGCTCCACTTAAGACCATCACAATCCCAAGAATGGAGCTATCAGCTGCGACTTTAGCAATACG